ATGAATGTGATAAAGCTCTGATTAGTTTCTTTAGAATGATTTGTTCAATTAGCTTTGTATAGATCTAGTAGAGTGCTGTATGAATGGATAAATGAGGACACAGATTGTAGTGTAAAGCGCTTTGAGTATCTCGATAAGATAGAAAGGCGCTATAGAAGTACAGTCCATTTACCATTTACACTTATATACACCCGCAGCACGGTGGCGCAACTGGTAGAGCTGCTGCCTCTCAGCGAGCAGGTACCTGGTTCAAACCCCGGTGCAGAGGCCTTTCTGGGTGGAGTTTGTATGTTCTCTCCGTGCATGCGTGGGTTTTTTCCGGGTGCTCCGGTTTCCTCCCACAGACCAAAAACATGCATGTTAGGCTGATTGGTAACTCTAAATTGTCCCTAGGTGTGAGTGAGAGAGTGAATGGTTGTTTGTCTCGTTTGTCTCTATGTGGCCCTGTGATGGACTTGTGATCTGTCCAGGGTGTACCCCGCCCCTCGCACAGTGATTGCTGGACATGGGCACCGGCGACCCCCCGTGACCCAAAATGGAATAAGCGGGTAAAGATAATGGATGGATGGATGGACTTATATACACATATATGTATGTATATATATATATATATATATATATATATACTGTATACATATATACCAGGAAGTGATTGATAGCTGTCTTCACCTTCCTCATGCGCATGCTGTTTTCCTGCTCGACTGTCAGGATCTACTGGCAGACTTGAGCAAAAGTTGCTCTGTGCATGCAGGGGAGTCCTCCCTCACGAGGAAGGGGATTACCCCTTCCCATTACGTTTCATTGGTCCAGGACCAATATTATATCATAATATTGGTCAGATTTCTTTTTACCTTTATTTATACAGGTAGTCTCATTGAGTCACGAGGACCCACCCCTCAACAGAGATGTGTATTGGGCAGCTATGTGAGCGCCCGAATGTAACGAGGCTAAATGTTTTGATGGCATGAAGCTCATTAGCCTAGCTTGTCAAGAACAACACAAAACAAAAAAAATCCATAAATTAGCTGCTGCATTGTATACACCACAGGCTTCAAAGAGTGAAAAAAGTAGTGGCTTATAGTTGGGAAATTACGGTAGTAAAATTTATCTTTCTAAGGAAGGAATCTTTGCTTGTGTAGTTCTTCAGGTATAATAATGAAGAATGGAACATCTTGCAAAAAAAAATTCAGCTGCAGATTAGTAAGATTAGTAACATATTGCAGATGAAGTAGTGTTTTTATGAAAACTCACTGGTTAGGGTTGGAACACCCAAGGATGGACTATTTTAGGATAAAATGAAGTCAGGCACTCAAGGTCTGAGTGAAAGGGTTGTCAGCTTCCAATATAAAGTTGGTGGTTCAGTCTGTCTCATGTGATCCCAATAAAACAAACTCAAGGCAAACTACTTTCATTTTAGATTCTTGAAGATGTTCTGCTTCTTTTCTTATCTGTGGATCTTTCTCAGCTCAAATCTTAAAGGCTGGAGTTTGCACTTTAAAACTGTTAATGGAATATAAGTTTTCCAACATGAATTGAGAAAACATAAAACAAAATGTCTTCATAAGTTGTTTCTTTCAGTTAATTTTATTAGAACCACAACATCCTGAAAATGGTAAATTAAAAAATAGATATTTTTAAACCCAGCTGGTCGAAACAGATGGCCGCTTGTCCTGAGCCTGGTTTTGCTGGAGGTTTCTTCCTGTTAAAAGGAGTTTTTCCTTTCCATTATCTCATTTGTGCTTGCTCAGGATGGGAGACTGTGATGAAGTGAATATTCAACACAATCTGCTGCTTCCTTAAACAGATAACTTTTACTAACTGTCTTTTATAATGTATGTGAATGTTTCTGTCCAGTGCCCTTAGACGACTTCTGTTGGGACCTGGCACTATATAAATAAAATTAATTTAACTGAACTTTGCTCAAATCTCTGAGAACTCATTCTTTAGTTTAACCTGTACCCGTTTTAGACCTTAACCCTGCAGAAACATTTTAGGCCTTGATGCAGATTTTGGGGTTGATTGTGTTGTCAGTGGAAGTAATATCCTTAACTCACTGGGCTGTGAGTAATTGGCATAAAGTATCCTTACAGAAGTCTCCTAAATGTTTCCAGACTTTTCGCAAGTTTCTCAACTACCTCACATGAGCTGCAGAAGTGTGAAGTCCTGCCATTTGAGGTTTGAACAGTCCAAAGTACAACTGTACAAGAACCTTTTTGTCAAAATATTCACAGCCATTGTGAGCATATCTAGCTTTGAACTTAGCTGGTTTTTGTCAAAGGCTTCTTCAGTCTGTCTCAAGAGCACTAGAGCTGAATTTTGATGTCTGTATGGGAACACTCACTGTTCCATGTTGCTGTGTTCATGCGTGCTCATCTGCTCACACAGATTCATGTTCATGCTGCTGTTCGGCGTGATGTTTTTGTGCTATTAGTGCTTAGTTTATTTTTAGTTGATGTTTTTCTTAGTTCATATCTTAGATCTTATTACTGTTTTTCTTTTACATTTTATTGTTGGATGTAACTGGGACCCTGTGTACACAATTTCATTCCACCCCATGTACCACATGGGGTGGAATGACAAATAAAGAACCTTGAATCCTTAAATTTTAGTTAGATAAGGAAAAGGAAACACGAGGAAAGAGGTAAAAAAAAAAAAAAAGTAGTTTACCAGAACCTAAAATAAAGGACGTCCCAAAGTGTCCCCATGGTTTACCAGAACCTGGCAAAAAAACAAAAATTTAAACGCCCAATGGTGTCCAAACATGCACCAAGTTTTACTAAAACTGATAAAGAATGTCCAATGGGACCCAACAGTGTTTCTGTTTCTATAGATTTCCAAAGCCAAAAACATGAATGTCAAAAGGTGTTTCTATGTTTTTTCCAGAGTTTGGTATAAGAATGTCTAAAGATGTCCAACATGTGTCTATATGGTTTACCAACTCTCTATAAAAGAGTAAATACATTTTATGCAGTTTTATATTCAACAAGTTTTCACAGCCATTACTGAAGCTGTTAATTCTACATTCTGACAGGCCCATGATAAAACCCTGGTCAACATTAACAACCACCTGGTGAATGGAAAAGGTAGCGAGATGGATGGAGATGTTTCTGGAGGAGGACGTGATCGAGAAAGGCTGAACACACTGAAGGAAGAGATCCTGAGGGAGTTGGAAAGAAGCGTGTCGTTGTCCTGCTTATCTTGTCAGGTAACAAATTTTATTTAATAATCTGATCATTTTAAAACAAAGAGCTTTATGTACATTTAACACCACAACATAAACAGCTTTATTTTCTGTTGCTAGGAGAACGTATTATTTATATAAAACCCGTGTGTACAATAAAGCCCTAATTGTTTCAGAGACAAGTGCATCATATCATTAATGGTATGTATTTATATATTATTTTGATTTATTAGTTAACCTCTAGAGCAGTGGTTCTCAAACTGCGGTCCCCGGATCCCTTGGAGTCTGCGAGCCGGTGCTTGGGGGTCCGCAAAAAAAAAAAAAAAAAA